CTCTCAGCCCTTCCGCCCAGACTAGTGACGGCTGCAGATGATGTGCATAATACGCATGCAAGAGGACTAATTAGCACAAGTGCTCTTTTGCCAACCATTCAATGGGACCCTGTATCAAACATCGGAAACTCTTCATCTCGAACCATACCATCAGAGCATTTGTTTCGCTGGATAGACTCTGCAAGCACTCCATTTGAGGTTCGTTTCAACAAAGCTTCAGCCTTCAAACCTCCCGCCCGGCCGAGGCATCGGCCGATCAATTAATGGTTAGCTTAACTAAGTACCTAGCCTCCTGTAGCTGCGACCACTCTACCAACCGACGCCATTTGAAGGTCAACGCTACAAGTCAATTGGCGGGAGCTACGCTCTTGAGTTTTCCCCCAAGAACAAGCTCGCGGGAGCTAAAAATTGCTATCGTTAGTCAATGGCTTACGAGTTTGAACTCAATGCCACAGTCGAGCTGTTCGAGTCATAAATTTAGCGGGAGATGTGAAGCCTAAACACGCTCTCCTTCCAATCATGTTGCCAGAACTACAAGGGAGGATGAGACGAGACCAAGGAGAGAAGCTGAAGTAACCATCCAGAAATTGTGTCTGGTTTAGCTGAACTCTCCAACGTCAGCGTGTACTGTAGGATTTCGTAGCATTCGGCGGATACGACTTACTGGCAAACTTCATGCAAAACCAACGAATAGGCATGTGTAGGCTTGAGACAAGTAATGCCACCTCCGTTATAATTACGCAGGCCTCAGAACCTTTCGCGGCCACTCAGCATCGCGTTTGAAACGAAGCGCTATGAGTTCGCCGTCTTTTAACTACATGGAAATCTCGACTCGTTGCTCTGTTATCTCCCTACAGGTCGCTTGTCCTTGAACAAAAGCGGGCTGCATGAGTGATCGACGTCGGATCGACGACTCCCGAAGCCCATCGCCGACAGCTGACTTCTTATTAACCCCCTTGCTATAGCGCACAAGACACTCAGATGCTCAACAATACGTTTTTGTTCAGAAGAGAACACTGTATCCCAATTATTTTTAAATCTCAAAATTCCACGTATCTGCATTTCCGTGTCTAAGGCTCGACGCCGACATTATGATCAGCGCCAGTTCCAGGCAGCTGGTACATGAGGGCTGCATTATTATTGATTGATGCTTGGCTCATCACCGACAAATGTTTGAAGTCTGCTATCTATTCGCGTCAGCCGGTCACTGGCACAGGGGCCTCAGCAATGCACCACTGAGGTAGACAGGGTAGATCAGCACCCATAGGCTAGAGAGGGATCTCGATGTTAGCGAGCATGACCAGTGTCAGTGTCGGCTTTAGTTTATGTGTTGCTCTAATGTGGTTTCATATATGCGACTCCACGCACTAACTTAGCTTATTATAGCCAATGCGCCTCGAGAAGAAGAGTAAGTATGGAAGATTCAGACGCAAGTAAGGCAAGGGAACAAAAGAAATATCGAATGTCGGTGTGCCGACATTGCTCTGCCACCCTGCATAACGAACACAGAATTGATGGAGACCTATGAACTTCGCCAACCTTTATCGAATATGAGTTCTCAGATCAGCCACAAACTATGAGATTACGATCTGGAACATACTTGAACTCCAGAACCAAAGCACTTGGGATATTCTCACACACCAAAGATTCTATCAAAACTAAATCTTTAGCCCAAACAGCCAGATGAACCCTGACTCTTGATACTGTTCACAGCCGAGTCTGGATGTTTGATTCTGACAGGCCCTCGAACATTTCCCAGGCAAGACGGCGTCACCATACTATTTCACACAATTTGTATGCTTAACTACCCAAGATCCGTGTCATCTATCAGTGGTAAGGCCAGGGAACTTTAACGTTCTCACTATAGCTTGGAGGGTTTATATATAAATGAAGTAGCCGGCCCCCAATTAAACCAGAGGTTATTTCCTTGTACATCATATATCTATTTTGAGTGGTAAATTTCCAACTCCAAAGTTTGACTATAAACATTAGGTAGGTAGCCCAAGGATCCAGTACTCGGCCATGGTCTTGAAGACATCTTGAGACTCTCATCCTGAGGCACAATAACTCTGATAATTTTGGTATGAGTTCAGTTTGCTCTTTGAATAGGGATCCCCCCCCCCCGTCCACAGCTATTTTGATCGTCACCCTGGTATAATATGCTGTGAGAAAAGGTGATGTTTGAGATGTCTTCAAGTTTGTCCTCTAGCTTTTGTGGTCCTTGGGACAGATTCTGGCGGTATGTATACTGATCTTGTGACAAGGCACCCTTCACACCAGACCTCTCTCAGGCGCCGAACATACTGGAAATATCTCGTCCTGAGTGGACTTAGAACAGTATGCTGGGGATCTATTTGTCTTGCTCCCGAAAGGTTCTGCTTTAGACCATAGATGATGAGCAGGGTGTATATAAGTTAAATAACAGGACACCTAGTTTTTGTAAGTCTAAGGATAAAGCTATATTCCATGTTCTTACTAGCGCGGAAAAACTATATCTGGCACGTTTGCGATTCGTGATGCCCCCTTTGGCTGACCAAGAATTATTATTAGATGCAAGCTTGCTATTCTAAGTGACATATATGATTTCCATACACTCGTTACAGGGTAGAGAAGCCCTTTATTATGAACAGCACGAATCAAGAGTACCGAACAATTAAATACTGAGTAGTAACAGAGTTAGATAGCTGTTGGCGATGGTATGAGAAACTCATAGGGTTTGGATCGACAGAATGCAGGAGGAAGCCGTAGATTGCGATGGCCAGGAGGCAGTCAAATTCAACTCGGCAGAATTACCATACTTAAACTAAAGCTCTACTGTTATATCCAGCGTTAATCTGGGAACAGAAGCTAATTTATACATCGGCAACACTGAGGCAAGGTTATTTGTGAAATGTGTCACGAACCCATGAGACACATAACTACCGACTAACGTTAATAATCAGTTGCCATGGTTAAGGCCATTCGCTGGAGGCACTGAGTTTGGCAACTCGCATAATTTAGGATTTAGTAAAACGGGGTATGCTTATCAACATGCTTACTGGTAAGGCTTATCACAGGAGCTTTGAAAATGGAATTGAAAGTGCTTTGTTCTCTGTTGCTCTGAATGGGGACCTTGGTGAGTTCCTTTGTTAAATTGGTTCACAGCCTCAGCAGGCTACAACCCAGCAGTGAGTCAGTCAGTCTATTAATGGAAGCCAGCTCGTGACAGCCGTGATCAAAGCATCCAAGAGCAAAACAGGTGATTCAATGGCCTGAAAGCATGAAATATCCGCCTCTGCCTTTGTGATTTCCTGCTTTACCTCTGATTAGGCATGGACAGTATCTATCGTAGTTTTCTCCTTGACGTTGACAATAAATACGAACGTTATTCCACTTGCTCCTCTTATTACCCACCCTAGGTACTTGGCCTACTCCCCCTGCCTGGTGTCTCCCCACTTTGAACCCGTCCACTCGGCCCCATCTTCTCGGGTTCTAGACTCCAGACCCTCCTCCGGACTTCCCTCTCCTCAACCCGCGCGTCAACTTGAACCTCGAACAACTCAAAACAGGAACGTTGTGGACATCCTTCAACGCAAATATATCATATTGCTGTACCATCCACTTCCAATACTAGTGTTATACCCTCAATCTCTCGCGCCTTGCTACACGCCCTGTCGCGCATCAAACTATGGCAGCGGCTGGCCTAATCGATCCGACAAAGACGGGCAACTATCCCGTCATCCTCGGCGATGCTCTCTTAGGCAAGACATCCAACGAGATCTTCACCGGTATTAAGTGTAAGTTTTTCTTAGCCTCCAAGCTCGATGTATCATGATACTCACATACTCCTAGACAATCACAAGCCGACACTCTCGTCAGACTCAGCCCCCAACTTAGCTCGCATAAAACCCTCTATCCCCGGAAAGACGGCATCCTACGACCTCACCTATACCGACAACGACGCAAAGTATGCGTTTACAGGGACAAGAAATAAGGATAGTGGTCAATATGTTCTTTACTTCGACCCCAGCCGCGAGGCCTTTATCCTCGATCTTGTCGACTCTACTTTCAACATGAACGTCACCCGACTGCCTGGTAACACCGATGCTGACAGTCTCCGTCGACAATATCCTCACATCGACAGTGCATCAAACGGCGTATCGAAAACAAACACAAAGGTTGAAAAGAGTGCCTCCGACAAATCCAATGCCAAAGCACGCGTCAAATCCACTACACAGAAGAGAGATATCAAGCGCAAGCCCGAGAAGAAGCAGCCCCCTAAGAATATTGAGCTCTCACTACCAGTACCTCAATCTAATGGACAATCAAAACCTGTGGAACCCAAGAAGCGCACACCAGCCCCCGAAGAAGAGGACGAGGATGAGGATGATGACGATGGTGGTCTTCTTGTCGAGTATCCTGGCGCCGACACCAACACAGCGTGTAGGACTGACTTCTCACCTGCTTTCCCGTCTGTGCGCCGCTTTGACGAATTCATGGATCAGCGCGAGTCTGAAGGTGATGATGCCGACGGCGAGGAAGATGATGATCCGGATTTTGAGTTCAAGCTGCCCAGCCCTGTCAACAACCGTAGCCAATACGAGGCTGGACCCGATCCTATGGATGTCGACGGGGAAGAGGAAGGAGAGGAAGGACTAGAAGTCGACCTCGCCAAAGAACTCGAGGACGCGTTCGAAAACCTGGAGAACAGCCAGCAAGAAAGCCCCGATGGGGACGAAAGTGAGATTAGTGAAGAGGACTAAAAACGTTTTGGATTATTGGGCTTTCGATTTGTTTTCTGTTTATATGCGGCGTTTCCACGGAATCTATGGCGCAGATACTGTCAAAAACAGTGGTTATGCTGTTGACCAGGCGTTGGAAAAGAGTCATTTTCAGAGGAATACTCGACGATACCACTGCCACTACCAGTACGACTCGTGGTGCCATTTCTGGCTATACTATTCTAAAATGAACACACGATGAAATATATATTCACGAAAACACCGTGCTTATGGTGCCCCTCATGCTTTCCTCTCAGCCCCCTCTCCTTGATCATCATACTTCCATTTCTCACCGGGCAAATGATCCGTGATACCCTCGATCGCATCCTCGGACCAAAGATGGACCTCCGAATAGGATAACTGCCGGCCCCAAATTTTCAGGTCGTCTTTGTCAAACGTCCCAACAGACATGCTAATCTTTTCCGACTTTTCATTGCGCCAGAAGAGCCAGCTGCCGCAACTGGAACAGAAGCCCCGTGCTGCTTCCGGTGAGGCGCGGTACCGCGATAGCGTCGTCTGAGAGGTGAACTCTACGCTGGAAGCAGGGACTGAATGAAGCCATGCAATGAGGGAGCCACCATTCTTACGGCACTGGGAGCATTGGCAAGTTGAGCACTGCCAAGAGATGGTTAGTTCAGTGAAATTTAAGAAACGGGAAATGAGACGAACGCTTCTCTTCCAGTCATGGCCAGATGGAAATCTCAGCCTGTAGCGAACCGAGCCACAGAGACATCCGCCAGAGACGCTTGTAGGGTATTCTTCTGAAGCCATGGGGTTCTTCTTGTACGAGTGATAGTGGCAATAAGACCGAAGTATTGAAATTAAAAGCACTGAGATATGGAAGAGGCTTGAGCGTTATATTGTATAGTGTTGAAGAGCGTGACCCCTCATCGAAGGGCTTTGCCCGCGGCAAGCATGTCAATGGCGCCTTTCGCTTCCCTGTTTAATGAACATTTTGAAATTCAAAACTCCTGGCGTCATTATTCTCATGGCTGGTACACTAATGCCTCGTATCAAGTTTAGGCATGGGTATAAATGCATGCATGCCTAGCCAACCACGGTCATGATATCCGAAAACAAGAATACAAATACTGAGTCAGTACGCCGTTTGATGTTTATGTCGTAACATATTCAGATAGCCTCCCATTTTGCAAGCCACCCGACGCTCTCGCCCGCGTTTCTAATGATACAATATCGTCCTTCCTTTGCGTTTTCCTTGACATCGTCTAAAATCTTGTCTATCGCGATCGAACCCATGGCCATCCCGTGACCCTCGCTCAGACTAAATGATCCGGTGGTGACGAAGCCAACGAGATCTTCGGCATTAGGAACAAGAGGATGGCCGTTCATGTCGGATTCATTAGCCGGCGTGAAAGGGTAGGGCGCAGGTTTAGAGATGAGTTCAGCGGCAAGTTGACGCTTCAAAAATTCCAAGTCGCGGGGCGTCGAGGTTCTGGATGTTTTGTTCTTTGTAGACAGAGACGGCCTAGCTTGAGAAAGCCATTGGGACCGAAGGTCGTAGGGAAGCGAGTAAGGTGAAGATAATGAAACGGGGGGAATAGTGGCAGGGACTTCGGCTTCAGAGGACTGTGGAGCTGTGGTAGGACGAGATGGGAGGCGGTAGATGCGAGCACAGGATGTGACAACGCCCCTAGAGATTAGAGATATACGGACGCCAAGAAGAGCGTTTGTCGGTGTTGTTGAGGGGGAAGATGGAGAAGTGACGGCTTGGTTAAAAACATCTTTCGTGATTTGACGTAGCTGGTAAATGCGTGGCTCTTGTTGCCTCGATACTTGTGTTGAAGCTGGATTTTCGTCCTGGTCCACGTCCATCGCGCCCTCAGTATGGTTCTCTTCGCTAGTTTGTGAATCTCCTGTGTCGAACAATAGCTCAAAGTCGCTAGCGAAGCCATCACCAATCTCACCCTTTCTCCCACCGCCCAGATCAAGCGATTCCCATGCGGTTCTCTTGCTCTTTGGCCGCTTCTCCCAAGCCGCTCTTCTTTTTCGACGCTCCTCGAGCTCCCATGCAGCACCAGCCTTGGTTCCGGGAAAATCCCCAGGGAACCAAGCCTGGCCTCGTTCGAAGGCGACCTGGCGGATCTCGTTCAAACCTGCGAATCGTGGGTTACCCCCTGAAGAAAGGGGATAATGCACCAAGCAGTACCAGAGATGCTGTATACATTTCCATGGTGCAAGCAGAGTCCATGTACCTTGTTTCTGTGTGCCTCTATCCGTGCGGGAAGCCAAAAGGATGATCGGGATTGGGGCATCATCTGCTGTGAGTTTCAAGGTGGTTCCGGGAGCATTTTTCGCTCTTCGTCTATCGATTTGTTTCTGTGAAGGGAAGCAGGACGCGGCATGGCGAGTGTCGCGATCGAATAAGGCATAAAGATTCAAATTCTCCTCGGCCGACCACGACGCTATCCTTTCGAGGAGTAGAAGTTGTGACTCTGGGTCTTCGGGAACCTCCAGGCGCCTTGGAGGGTATTGAAGACGGGGATCCTGCACCGAGAACCCCAACACCGCGCCAGCAGGGAGAGTGGCTGCATTGGTCAAACCGGTCAGCCCTTGAAAAAGCTCAGTATGATCTATTTTCGTCTTGTCCTTTACGGGGCAAGTGCGCAATATAGCTAGCAGAGCTTCTGTAGATCCCGGGCCTGTCAAGTCTAAGCTTCCAATCTCAAATCGGAGATCTTCGATGTAAAGCCGAGGGGTTTCCTGCTTTATTAAAGACAGTAACTCGTTAAACAGCTCGAGGAAGGCTGATGGGTGGATCCTCAAGAAAACCTGCCTCGATTCTTGTTTAAGCTCCTGGTTGTCTTCTTGTGTCGGTGGTTCGGGGTTCCATAAGATGGTGCATGGCCCGATCATCTTTCGGTTGGCTTGATTCTGCTGTCCCGTATGAATTGCCCGAGTTAGAACACCGGTCCATGAGCGGGTTCCGATCCTCCATTTCTTTCCCTTGTCGTTCCAACATGAATCCTGAACAACCCCTATCCGCTTCAACACACGTTCTATGCCAGCGCGTTTGCCGTAAAGGCCAATTGTGCTCATGTAGCTCATCTCCCATACAACTGCCCCTCTTTCGCCTTGAGCTCGATGTGTAGGTCGGTATATCTTTTCGTTCGGTGTCAATGGGATAGCGAACCGCCATAAAGGTTCCAACGGATCAGTCATGCGTGCTCTTTTCGCATGCCATGAGTGTGTCGGTAACCATGTTTTGTTCAGTTGACGCTTGCGGAACTTGGACTTTGGCTTTGGAGGTTGGTTGAGTTCGTTTCGTCGAAGTTTCGGTCTCGGTGGTCTTCCCGTTACAGCTAATGCATCGTCTTTACTGACATCTCCGTCATGCTTCGCCCTCGCTAGACTAGCCTTGCGTTTCCTCGCTGCCAATATTCCTAATTTTCGTGCTGTTTCGGATCTTATCTTCGCTCGCGTTGTTCTGGGTTTCCTCCTTCTGGCTTCGACAACCGGAGTGTTGTCGTCTTTCATCTCTTTAAGGGCACGTTTTCTTAGTCGGCGCGGTACCCGTTTGGGGTTGTGACTCGCTGTGCGGCGGCGTAAGCCTCTGGGTACCTTCTGAAAGGCGCGACTGCTAGCAACAGCTTTCGATGTGGCCATGCTTTGTTCAAGAGCGCGAATCTCGAACTCGTGGGCTGCCACAAAAGCCTGGAGATCAAGTTCGCCATCTTTGAGTGCAGCTTCGGCGGGCTGCGCAGGGATGCTGCGCGCAGAATGAACCACGGAGCGCTTCTCCCTACGGCCATTCGATGCCGGTGTGTCAGCCTTTCGCTTTCTGCTGTCCGGCCCAGATTGGGCTCCGGTAGAAGATCCCGGAGCCATGATGAGGGATTGATTTGTTGTGGAGATATCAAATTTGTGAGTTCTTGGTCACCTTGAATGTCAACGTCGAAACGCGATGGAAAGAAAATAAAAGCTTATCGATAAGCTTTGACGGACCCTGAATGGGAGTCATTATTTCAGAACCGCCATCATGACATGTGAATAGGTAGGAAAGCTTGATTTATTAGAAGGGCGAGTCAGTCAATTTGTTTCTCTCTTTATTACTTTAGCCTTGAACAAAGAGGTTCCCGTGTCACAATGCGATTTTATTCCCCAAGCTAGGACAGTTCTTCAGATCTGGCTACTAAGCTATGTACCTATATGAATATGAGATGAGCATATCGAACATGGGCTTTCACAAATGCGGCAAGTTGGTTAATCAAATCAGCAATACGTTTTCAATATTCAATTCCCAAACAATAACATCGAAATAACATATAAACGCCTCTAGTAAGGGTATAATAAGCTGTCAAGTTTGCGCCATTCGCCAGATAATCGTGCTAGACGTTGCCAATCTGAGACGACCAGATAATTGAGTCTAGGTACTTGGTTGCCAAGTCCCGACGAGAAAATGATTTTTGACCAGAACGTGATGATGAGCCCACCGAGCTTTCTGAATCGTCTATCCTAGCTCCATCCCGTAACACTGTAATGTCTCCTCACTGCTTCTGCCAATTGTCCTGGAGGTTGGCATTTGGAACACACCTTATGGCCCCTAGAACCCGATCAGCTTATTAGTGTCTCAACGCATCTAACACAGATCGATGTGATAAGAGAGCATACCAAAATTCTGGGGGATCAACAACATTAGGCGTGCATGGCCGTTGTGATCTTTCGTATTTTGGGCACCACTTTCGAACAATCCAAGCATGATGTTGGCACCGAAACTCGACCTGGCATTAGCGGTTAGCAAGAGGCTTCCTTCACTGTAAGTGAGGGAGCTCATACAAAGAAATAGTCACACATTCTCGGTGAGTGAATGATTTTGACAAAGAAAAAGATCAGGAACCGACGGCGATCGTCCCCCTTTTGCAGGACCGCTTCCAGAATACATGTCTGACCTCTCATTTTTATTCGATCACATTGTTGTGAAATATGCTAAAGGTTCATGGTGAGAGGTGATCGATGGGGGGGATCTTACCGAAGCCTCGGACTCCAAAGTCTCATAATTGTTGTATATTGCTTCTTTTGAGAACGCCATCGCAAGGAAGCGATGCAACCTGCAATGCGGCAGGGAGCCGAAGGACAGATCGGGAAATGGGTGTTTGAGAATTGAGAGAGAAGATTGTGCATAATAGTACAAGTTGTCTCCTTTGTCATCTCTTCTCCCGTGAGGAGGGGGAACTATTGGGGCTGTATGGTTACACAAGCCAGGCGGCTAAGGCATTAAGGCACATCATCACAATCATCACAATCATGGAAGACTTTCATCATGCCGTTAGCCTAGACTTTTGCTTTGAATTTACTTCAAAGGTTGAGGATAGTTACGTGATGCTCAGAGTTCCATTTGCAATAGTCCATTCTCGTTTCTCGGTCCTTACCTAGACATAGAACAGGTTTTGTCTCTTCTCTCGACGGCGGTTGAACTACCCCCCCTGTTCATTTTCTGTTTCAGACTATTTCGCCTTGCCAGGATCGCTTACACTCTCAGCTCAAAATCGAACATGGGTTTTGAGAAACTAAGTCGTATTCAGCAGGGCTTCTCACCAATCCTTGGGAAGCAAGAAAACTAAAGACATTATGTAGAAGAGGATGCTAACAAGAAAATGAACTAAACTCAGCAAAGAGTCCCCCACAAACTCCCTGAAGCTTGGGAAACCGAGCCCCTAAGTAATCAGTAGGAGGAGGAGGCTATAGGCGCTGCCATCATCCCCAGAGCCGCATAGCTTGTCACAGAGAATCAGCTTTGCAGTGATGCCCAAGTCCGAATGTCTAAAAAGCGATCAAGCGATACTATGCTTTTGGCATGCCTCTAAAGAAAGAGATAAATAATATATTCTCTCAATCAGTTAGGGACCCGACCTGATCAGCACGGAAAATAAGTCACAATACGACTTGGCAGGATAGATGTCTGGCAAACTACATCAACCATCAGATTCAGGATAAACGAGTCATCAGCTTGCCGGGGTCAGACTACGCTTTCTGAATATGCCAAGAGGCTTGCGCGTGAGAATCCTGCTGAGGGGAACAATTACCTCGATGCGTACTGTCAGAAGATCACAGACCCTGAGACATTCATCCTCAATCGTGTTGACAATGAGCAGCATGCCCGCGAACTCCTCATCCGCGCCGCCAGTTTAACCTCCGTCCTTTGCTGTACACCGGTTACCTTTGGTCAGATCAAAAACCACACTGGGCTTGAGTACAACTTTATTGTCCTCGATGAAGCCGCTAGAATGCCAGAATCATTGTTTCTCATGCCTATGGCGAAATGTCCCGAGGCATTGGTCCGCAAGGACTGGCAGTCATTTTTTGGTCCTCACCGTGCCACAAGCTTGTTTGAACGCAGTGAGAAATCAGGCGCCTGCTGTTTAGGTTGAAGTCCAATTACCGCGCCCATGGAAAAGTTGCCCATTTCGTGAAAAGTTAATAAGAAGATTTAGGTAACTTAGTATAAGTTTAGGATAACTTTTGTTAAGTTTAGGATGACTTTTGCTGAGTTTAGGATAACTTTGCTGAGTTTAGGATATTATTTGCTGAATTTAGGATAACGCCCTAGGGCAGCCACTTTGTCAAGGAGCTGCTAGAGTCTTCTTTCAAATCGTTTCTTGGTCTCATCTTAGGACCGTCTGTTACAACACCCTATTTCTCCCTCTCTGAGTGAAACATATGATTCGGTGGCGATCCAGCTGGCCGGGTCGGGTTTGAGCCTTGCAGGAATGTCTCGCAGGCGGTTCTTCTTCTTCTTTCTTTTTAGAGCGAGGGAGCTGAAGACAAAGTGTAGGAACTCATCAACGAGAATATTACCAGCTCCAGGAGTGAGCAAGAGTGTAAAAGTCAGAATGTACTTAGTAAAGGACTTGGGAATATGATATCTCCTATATAAAAAATGTGTATCTGTGCCATTAATTTGAATTAACATGCCCTCCCTTGATTGATGCCCGTAGAGAAAGGTAGGTACTCGTTGATTATCAGGATGGCTACCAGCCTCCTGTGGCTTTGCTTGTTACATCTCTCGTGGCGTCAAGTCACAGGGGGCGTCGTTCAACCATCATGGGATCTGATCCCTGGAATTGCATATGACGATATCCTCATCATTTACGTTGGGATCATCACCTTTCGATCGCGGGCTTATCTTATCATCGCTGACTACGGCCAGTTTCAGTTCCTCCACGTTCAAACGGTCGCAACCGTTCCACCAGCTACAGCGCCATAGGGGACCGCCGTATCCTTAGTTGGAATTGTCTGGCAGACCAGAGCCAAACCCAAATCCAAAGTCAAAGTCCACGCCAAACAACCTAAGCAGAGGTAAATCCAGAGGGGGATGGCCTCTTTAAGTAAGCCGCATCCCCACAAGGTTCGCATTTCCGGTGCATCACACGAGTTATTTCTATATATATTCTCTGGCATCTTAACTTTGGCGATATTGTAACCAGCACTCTTTCACTCACTGCAGTCTCATTACGGAAGTCTGTCGTAAGATTAGATACCGTCACAGTTACGCTCAAGCGAGCTCGCTATATACTTATTCACATAGTCGTGATTTGAGCATTACGAATCATTGACAGAGGGATATCCTGACAATCATTGCTAACATGGGCTTTCTCAAACCTGAAGTTGGCAAGGCCCGGAAGGTAAGGATTAATCTCAATCTTCAACACGAAATCAAGCTAACTCGTACTCCAGCCAAAATTCGACCTTCATCTCAAGGTACATCCATCAATCTACATCCAGCCACACTATGGGGAAACCTTGACTTATGCTTCCTAGATTTACGACCTTAACAACGTGCCGCTCGTTTCTGGTCAGGCTTTTGTCAAATGGCACCTCTCTCACTCAATGACCGCGGAGCATCGCGGGCGCACGCAGAAATGCCCAATCGCCAACCACAGAGTTGAATGGGGCTTTGTCACCGCGGTGCCCTCTATCCGCATATCGATAGACCGCAATAACAACCTTACCGAATGTCCCATGGAGTTTGAGGTTATACAGGAATTTGGCTTGACAGAGAAGGTCACCCTTGGTATTGTTCGCCTCAACCTGAGCGAGTACGTGGAAGAGAGCGAGGCCTTCGTCAAGGATGTCACATCGCCTGGTCGCATGCGTAGCAACAGTATGGGTGTCAGCCCGACGAGGGGTGGTACATCACGGCCGCGCCGTGATTCAGATGTCGTCGAGGATGGCATCGTGAGAAGATATCTCATGCAAGACAGCAAAGTCAACAGTACGCTGAAGATCAGTATCCTCATGCTCCAAGTCGACGGAGAACGGAGTTACGTAGCTCCCCCTCTGAAAACGGCTCCCGTCTTTGGAGGTATTGGAGGCATCATGAGCGAGGCAATAGAGGACGACGCCGGGCGTAAGTTGAACTGATTCGTTCCATATCATTTCCTGCCGCTGACAACATATAGCAATAGCTGCCGCGGTCCCCAACTTGTCTAAGCCTCGCGACGCCGCTGAGCTCCAAGACCTGTACCGAAGCGTTCTCGCTGCTTCGTGGAGTCGGCAACCGAATGAGCACTCTGCCGAAGAAGTCATCGAGGACATTTTCAACGGAGGTAACGGCTGGAAAACCAAACCTCACAATGCTTCGCCTGTCACTGATGGAGAAGACGACGACGACGATATGGGTCCACGTGATACTATCCGAGCCCGCGATACTCGCCGTATAACTCACAACCTCCTTCACCCTCATCACCATCATCACCACCACTCAAACAGAACTGCCTCGCCTTCGCACAACCACCAGAACAACGGCCCAGCTGGCTCCTCACATCGCCGCACACCAAGTAACTCGAGTGATAAGAGCTTCTCGACAGTTACAGTTACTCCATCGAACCGACGCAAAGGTGTACGCATCCATGAGCACCACCTCGACCACGCGCGTAGTATGGCGAGCATGACGTCTACTATGACACTTGATAGCGACCCAATGCGTGAAGTGAGTTACAAGGGAACCCGCGAGGTTAGAGAGGATGATATGCGAAACGACCTCATTGCTTGGCGATTACCAGGTGATGGGAACCAGGTAATGTAAAGGGCCTAATTTAGACGTCGAAACTGAGCTTCTTGACGGTCTCCAAAAGGCGGCTGGAGTACCTATTTAACGATGTTTCCTGAAGGGCCTCCACCGAAATGATTCGACATGAATCTTTTAAATGTTAAGTCTTTATTCAATTCATCCCTGACAACCCTCTATTGTGTCTTCTAGAATCTACCAATAATCCCGTGCTTTTTGCATGCCAACCCCCCTTATAAACCCACTCATAAAATCATTGCGGCTTTTCAATCAAAGTTCCTGCTTTTGAGTCCAGCACTTCTAGACTTAGATGTTTCCTCGCACACCACCCTTACCGCCAACTTCCCGGGCTGTAACCGTAACACCTAGATCGGCTAGAACATTGATCGTGACTTCGACCTTGCCGCCGGCCTTGACACCCTTGATGGCGGCCTCGGCAAGAGGGTTGCCGATCTTCCAGATTTTCTCCCGGGTCTCCTCTTCCTCTTCATCAGAGTCATCAAAATCGGAGTCGTCCTCATCCTTGTCTCCATTCTCTTCCTTAGCCTTAGGCTCAGGCTTGGTGACCTTGATGTGGGTGTTACCCTCAACAATCTTGATAAGAACATCGCCACCTTCCTTAGGAGCGGGAATATGGATGGTGCGACGGGCAGGGGCGGCGGTCTCAGGGGCAATGATGGGGGTGAAGACATCCTCGCCGTCAGCACCCACGGTGATAACACCAATAGCATTGGAGATGTGCTTCACAGTGGTGACAGCAGGGTGAGTGGACTGCTCGATATCGGCGGCCTCGTACTCCTGGATCAAAGAGGCCTGGAGGGCAGCACCACGAGCAAGGAGCTCAGAAGGGTTGATGGCGGACACGCTCGTGGCGGGAGCTTGAATCTCGGTAGTCTCAGGGAAGATACCACGGAGATTGTTAGCGATACGAGGGGTGTGGGCAGTACCTCCTGACAGAATAACCTCGTCAATGTCAAGAACATCGAGGCCGGCCTTCTTGACAACACCCTCGATGAGTCGGTTGAAGCCCTCGAATACCTTGCGGGCAACCATCTCGTATCGTATCCTGTTGATAGTAACAGAGAAATCGAAGCCATCCGCCAAGCTCTCGACGCTGAACTGAGCGTTGCTGCCCAGGCTCAGAGCTCGCTTGGTAGCCTCGGACTCAAGTCGAAGCTTCGCAAGACTGCGAGTGTTGTTTCGGGGGTCAATGCTGTGCTTCTTTTGGAATTCCTTAGCAAAGTGATCCATAAGAGCATTGTCCAAATGAACACCAGCAAACTCGTAATCGTGAGCAGTGGCGAGGATCGTGTAAAGACCACCTCGCGAAGCGACAACGGCAACATCTGAGCGAGTGCCACCAAGGTCGGCAACAACAATGATCTTATCCTCGATCTTGGCCTCAGGACGGGCATCGTAAGCCAGAACAGCGGCGACAGGGTCAGAAATAAGCTGAAGGATCTCGATGTCGGCGTCGTTGGCGGCCTTGATCAGAGCCTCTCGCTGCTTCTCGGTGAAGTTTGTGGGGACGGTAACAACGGCGGAGGTGACCTTCTTGCCAAGGTAGTCGGAAGCAGAACCCACAAGGCGTCGCAGGTATCGAGTAGTGGCCTCTGAAACAGAAACAGTCGAAGTCTCTTCCTCGCTCTTGTCCTTGACAGAAAAAGCAACGGTGCCGGAAACATCCTTGGGGTGGGCGGAAGCGTGAGAGTGGGTAGGGTCGATGGACTTGAATCTGAAGGCATCTTGTCAGTGTCATTAGTTCCAGAATTGGGGCTGCGGCGGAAAGGTCGCGTACTCTTGGCCGAGGAAGTCCCGGAAGTTGGCGATGGTGTTATCGGGGTTGCGAACGAGGAAGTTCTTGGCCTGTCCGCCGTAGTACTCATCGCCGTCAACGTAAGACAGAACGGTGGGAATTTGTCGGTCTATCAAGCAGCGAACGGTTAGCAAGCGACCTAGTGACACTACCACGGGGCACAATTCAAGTCGATCTAGAACATACCTCCATCCTCGTTGGCAATAACCTCGGCCTTGTCGTCAACAGTATAGGCAATGGAACTGTTGGAGTTACCAAAGGTAATACCAATGGCAACTCGATCGCCAGGCTCAGGGCCCTTGGCTCCAGCGTTGTCACTCATTAGGTACGTCGGAAGGGAGTTGTGTGAGTCCTTATAGGGAAAGGGGGAGAGATAAAGTCAAGACTCTGTGCCTCTGTTGAGTTGAAGCAAAGAGGTTCCAAGATGTCGAGATTTTGGAGGGCGAGTGCGAGTTGGTGATGGATGTTAGTGGGGTTTCTTTTCTTTTCCCTCAGAGATTGGAAAAAAACTGCCCGCTAATCGCATCACCCACAATTTTTCTTGATCGGCCACTGGTACGTATTCACGTTATCGTTATCGGTTCTCCACATGCCGCCTTTGCTCATGGTTTTGAAGGTGTCGCATCGGGATTACAGCTTTTAACTGTTACATTTCAAAGCACTAACTCGTCAACCTTTCCATCATGGCATCTGATGCGGTGTTCGTACTGCCAGGCGATATCATTGATCCATCTCTTATCCCTTCACATCCTAAGAAGCCTCTGCGGCTCGGTCCTGGCCTACGACATGTGCCTCCCAACGACATCGTTCCCACACTTGCTGGCCAACTTGTGACTGATCGACAAAAGAATGCAATTCGTGTAGAGAATGCTCGAGGAAAGGTACGCTTCTGAATTGCCTCCGGGCTGCAGACCGTCGACTCACCAATCAACAGTATACCCCTCGCGTCGGTGAGCTCGTCATCGGGACCGTCCAGCGCAGCGCCGCCGACTTATTCTACGTTACTCTCTCCGACTATACCGCGCCTGCTCTTCTACCACAACTTTCTTTTGAAGGCGCCACAAAGAAGACCCGTCCTCAGCTTACCGCGGGTGCACTTGTGTACGCACGGATTGCTCTCGCCAACCGCCACATGGACCCAGAGATTGAATGCGTATCTTCTTCAACAGGAAAATCTGAGGGTCTAGGCCCTCTAACAGGCGGAATGCTCTATACCGTGTCACTTGGAATGGCTCGACGTCTGATGATGCCCAAGAGTGTGCAAGAAGGCCGGATTGTGGTGCTGGAAGAGCTCGGTAACGCAGGCCTTCAATTTGAGACAGCTACAGGACGCAATGGCAAGTTCTGGGTTGACAGTGAGAATGTGAAAACGGTCATTGCTGTTGGGAGGGCAGTATTGGAGACTGATGAGAGGGGATTAGATGTTGAAGAACAGAAGAAGCTTGTCAGGAAAATCATCAAAGACCTGAGCTGAAGGGGGCGAGCATGTGCCAGAAACCATGATGCTCAATAGCACTCTTTGTATTGGAATAGTTCGGTTGTACACTGTCGAATTAATAGATACCCAAGAACGAACACGCCTGGCTCGTCCGCTGTTAGACGAACATGTCTTTTCCCATGACCTAACGCCCGAATAGTCCTACATGTCCAAACCTTGATTTTTGTGCTGATTCCTTGACTTCTAATACCCATATATGCCAAATTTGAACGAGTGTAAGAATCAAATCGCTGTAAATGAAAAAGGAAAGTGAGTAAACAGGGAGCCCAGCAAAGTGCTAAGGCTTGTCAGTCGGTGGCCGATTCAGGTGGCACATAGTACAGTGCAGGATGCAGCGGGAGTACCCCATATCTACAGCAGCAAATAAGACGACGTCGCAAACAGGTATCCTTATGTGCCGCCCATCTCCTGGTCGACTTCCACAGGTTCTGGGAGGTGTCTCTGATCCATATTGTGAATCTTTGTCATATGCCGTTTCCAGTTATCCTTGCGAGGGAATCCCTTTCCTCCTTGCCTTGAGTAGTCGCAGCCTTGGACAGCGCAGTGGAACTTTTTCTTTCTTTCGTGTCGATCATTGACATGCCGCTGGAGATGTGTCTTGGTCCCAAATCCCTTGCCACAGTTCGGGTAAGGGCATTTGTGGTCTTTCGTATGATATCGTTGATGATGCCTGTTGGGTTAATGAGCGAATTGGATCAGCCATGTCATGATAAACTTACTTGAGCTTGTGTGGCTGATCGAACACCTGGTTACAGCCAGGCTCATCACATGCGTGTGAAACATTACTCGGCGAATGGTTGCTTACAGCGTTTCCTGGTGACACGCTATGTCGGTAGTCGGAAGATGTACCAGAGTGAGGTGAAGGGGTATCAAGCTGTGTCGCAGGTGTACTGAGCGATGACGGGTTGGTGAACGCCGGCCCAGGCAGGGGGGTAGACGCATCGGAGGGATAGCTTGGGTGTCGAATACTACTGTCGGGGAGAGGACTCAAGTGGTTGGCCGTTGGAATTTCAGACATAGAGATATCCTGATTGTCATCGACCTCCTCCGTTTTGAACGCTATTTGACTCTGGGTTGGTGTAGGTGAGTGAACTATGGGCACAGGTTGAGGTTGAGGATCACTAGGAGGGAGGGTCAACGGCGACGGCGAGTCCACAGGTCCTTCATGTGTGGCAGGCCCAGCTGAGAGGGGCGGCTGGTTGGGTGAGGATTGCGATACATATAATTGGTAGTCATTCCTGTGCCATACTTCGGTTTCTGTCGATGCAGGCATGATATCCATGGGGTTCACGGTACCAGGTGCGGGATGGCTAGGAGGGGATTGGGACGCGTTAAAGTTGAAAGTGGTCGGTGGGGAACCTGGGGGACTTTGCACAGCCCCCTTTGGCAGGGTAGATGGTAAAGCGATCGGGGAGCCCAAGGCTTGGGTAGACGCAGGTACCGGCAAAGAATCAGTCGCCGGCGCAGTCATGTCAGTAGGAGATTCGGTCGGTCTTCCTGCTGTCGTGATGCGTTGAAGGCTTCCATCCTGTGCTCTTGGTACGCTTTCGAGGTTTTCGGCCAAGCATTCCGATGTTGGTGAGTTCAGAGACTGATCGCGCGTGCTCTTGCGACTAAACATCTGTTTTAAATTATATCTCAAGGAGCTCCCACGCGACCATGAGCGTTCAGGCTGAGGTCGGGGTTCCTCAGTCGAGAACATGCCAAATGCCTCCGAGGGGACTGATGGGCTATAGTAATCCGCACTGGTCCCATTAAGAACAGCACGGGGTGCATCGCCAATAGACTGCGGCATGTACTCTTCATGATGATTCTCGTCGGAGCCGAACGGTGCTGAGCGCGGTATTGAGTCGTTGGCAGTTGGTAGGGCATTTCCAAAGCCATAAGAAGGTAAATTTGTGTCGATTCGGGGAACATAGTCTGGTTGACCTTGTCCATTGCTTTGCTGCAAAAAGCCATCGTGGGCTGTCCAGTCCAAGTCCTTGACAGATCCATCAACTCCCCCACGCGTATTTTCTCCCGAAGGTTTGAAAGAGTCTTGTGAGGACAAGCGGCGTTGATTGTCGTCTATCCCCGGGGCTCCAGTTGCTGGAACTTCGCCAGTCTCTGGGTCGTTCGTGTCCGGGGGGCCGTGAAGAGATGTTTGTTTTCGGCGTCTGATGCGGCGGATGATAAAGGGATACGAGCAAAGAACGACTAGCGCAATGCCCACGATAACACCAACAACAACACCCGCGATTCCTCCATCGCTAAGCTGGCGTTTCAATACGACGCCTCTGGTTTCGAGATTACCCATCGCATGGCTCTTCCTCCGACTTAGACATCGCAGAGTATCCATCTAATTGGACCACGCCGGGTTCGAGGAATAAGTGGCGGATGGGGGAGGTGGCCAGCAGCAGCCGGCAAGAGCTGATGGGAGCTGGGAACTGGGACAGCTAATCGAGTGGTGATGCTTCTTTTCGTATTGCTGGGTTAGGTTAATGGGGCGGGGTGGCCGGTATAACACTGGATGCTTGGGTCTTGGGAGGCCGCCGTCGCAGTCGCGCGAGACACAACGAGCCCCGTGGAAGGCTTGTGCTTTGTTGAAAGGGTCTAGTCGATGAATCGGAAGATATGGTGGGGATTATAGGGATGATCACTTTAGTTGTTGGATAGTTAGTGTACTCATCATGATCGATCGTTGTGAGAGACAGATTCATGCATGAGTGAGATGCAATGACATGGCGGGATCCGGGGGTGGTCGTCAGCGGCCAAGCGCAAAGCAACGGCCCTTCCAGAGCGAGCATCTTCTGACAATTGGTTTTTATCGCGCCTTTTCAGGGCTCCAACGTCTTCAACTGCGCATGGCCCCAGGGAGCAAGAAAACTTCCGACGGTGGAAGGGGGTGTCAAAAGTAAATAGTATCGGATGCACCAAACCTATGCTGAATTATGCCCGTATCTTTTTGTCTCTGGGATAGAGGTCCTTACTTTTCTTGCCTCCCGTTGCCAGATTAAAGTAGCTCAACAGGGACGATATTTCATTGGACATGGGCGGTTATTTAGGCCCGCTTCCCGTCCGAAGCTCCGTCAGTCTAAGCCACACTCATCTCAACGTACTTGGTACTTGGTTAAGGTAGGTAGTGTCAACTCACCCCTGGCGTCACCAGGGTCACCCAGTTTCAACACGATTTACGATTTAATCACAGGTTATTTGACTTCAGCAGTGCAGTCTACAATTTCAGATCTTTTCTCTTAATCTGTCTCATCATGTTTCCTTTTGACTGAAGATAAGCAGCATCGGCAACAATCCCATCGTCACATCTGGAGACGATGTCACTGTTCCTTGTTTTCATTCGACCGTGGGTTTCGTCAAGCAGTTGGTCTCAAGCTACTGGCCCCATAATGCCGATGACAATTTGCAGCCAAGTTCTATAAATAAATGCATTCGTGAATATCGAAAGAGCAAAGATTACTCAAAGAACCGTCAAATCGGCTGCATACCTAATCTACGAATGCCCTCCTTGCTCAAGCCTCGTGATGTCTCAACTATATATCTGAGCCTCTGCAGTTACCGGCTATGATAATGCAGCATTAGATCTGATAGCTCTATATTTGCAAGATGTTCTTACTCGCTGGCCCTACAAGCCAAGACTCAGCCCCTTCCTCTCCAGTGTTCGTGAGCGAGCGGGAGTAAGGCAATGATCGAGAATTGGCACCATTTCGGATCAGTTTGATGGCCCTGATCGTGCGAGATTATTGTCATTCCGTTACTCTCGCTTTTGATAAAATGCAATTATTACCCATCGTACCAGATAGGATCCATATGTAAGAAATAATAACTAA